AGGGAGGCAGGAGTCACTGAAGGGCAAGCCCCTCCACACTTGCCCGGATCTGTCTCTTGACCTGGAACACTGGCAGGCTGTAAAAGGCAAGGTTGGCCCGTGTGTTTGCCCTGGGATTAGCATCTAGCTCCTCCTAATGAGCAAGTAGAAGCAGGTGCAGGGGCTGGTCATCCAGCAGAGCAGCCTGTAGCTGCACCCTACCGCTCCCTGAACCACATCTTTATGAGCTCACCAGTGCCACCTCATCCCTGTCTGGGAGCTGTCAGTGCCAGGAGATTCTAGTTTTGCCTCCCTGCTTGACTGAGTGGAAGCAGGGTGGGTAAGCTTCAGCCCTAAACAAGCCTACGGCAGTCCTGGGCTGGTGGGGGGCTGATACCCAGCTGAAGGCGCTAAAATCTTGTGGCTCCTTCCTGATCTAGCACCATAGCTATGGGGAGCAAATCAAAATAGGTAGCAGTGGAAAATTCAGGAGGTCACATCCTGGTTCATCTCCAGGGCTACTTGGAGCCAGCCTGCGGCTGAATTGATTAGAAACAGACAGAAGCATCTCGATTTAAACACAGCCTTCCTTTGCTTCACCTTCCCTTCCCTGCGCTGGATTTGGCTGTCCTTGATCGCTTTGCGAGTGTTCACGTACAAATCACAGCTTGCGCAGCACCTGGTGGCCCGGTTTGGCAACCCCGATCCTTATCTCAAGTCAAATAATTTCCTATTCCATTTTGGCACTAGACTCCCCTTTTATAGAGGCCAATCGCAGGAGCTAATAAGTGACTAAATTTGCCGCAGCAAAGCAGGCCTACTGCCGTCTGGAGGATGAAAGAGGTGGTGGTTAGCTTCTGGGCAGCCAAGGCAGTTTGGGGAACAGGATGGTTTTCAGCCCTTATAATCTGAGGACGGGTGAATGTCCTGGGCTGTGTTTGTGAACCAAAGCTGGCCTCGGGCCCAAGCCCTTGGACTTCGCCCCTGCCAGCCAGCGGAACAGAAGGTGTTTCTCCCTGCTGCCCTTGTCCTGTGCTGCTACCCAGGTGTCATTGACTTCCCCTCGGGACAGCTCTGAACAAAGCTGTCCCAGTTGCTCGCTTCCCTTCAGCATGACTGCAACAAAAGTGGGAAAAGAGCTTCTGGTTCCAGGTGATTTCAGTGGCTGAGTGGTACATGTTCAGTGAGTGACCAAGCTGCAGACCCTCCCATATGAGAAGGCAGCAGTTAAATAGTTTAGTATGCTCCACAAACCCAAGACCCTACATCCAACCTTTCCGCATCTAAGCTGGATAAGTATCAAACTGTAACGAGCCCTTGGCAGTCACCGACGCTTCTCGCTGAGCAGGAGATCGGGGAAGAATCTGGATCCGAGTACCCTTGGACAACTTGGGGCATTACTGCCACCCACAGGAGAAGTGCTTTCGGCACATGAGCACATTCGATATCGTGCTGCCACAAAGTCCTAAATGCGAGGCTGAGCAGGTCTAACTTGAAAGACTGGTGTTTTCAGAATAGGGTTGTGAGGGCAATACCCCCCAGGCCCACTGCCCTGCTCTGGATACAGGCTCCAACTGAGCAAAGGTCATTGTGCGAGAGGCACTGGCATTGCCCAAGAGACACATCAGACTTCTAACAGGAGCCAAGGTTGGACAGAGAAGAGGAGCTTGCACCACTCTGAGTAATAGCAAAAGCACAAACAACAGGGATGGGTCTGTAAGCCTCGAATTGGAGCCCTTGGGGCTCCACTGTGGTACCTTACGCCAGTGTTTCCCAATGTGCGGCAGCACAATGGTGTGCCGTCGGAAATGAGGTGTGCCGTGGAATTTTGCTACGGCAGCGAGCTACAATTGAGGATGGGGAGTACCTTAACAGGTGTGCCGCAGAAAATGTGTATTAATGTGAGTGTGCCTTGGGCTGGAAAAGGTTGGGAAACACTGCCTTACATCAGTAGCTGACTACTGCCCTATGGTGGTCCTGACTGCAGAAGTTGCCTCATTCCTTCCTACTTAGAAAAGCCTGTAGGACTCGTTGCAAAGGAGTTTGCCAGATTCAAAGGAGATTCTCCGATTCCCCTCCCCTACTGCACTTCACCCCAGCCTTGGCTCAGCTTCTGAGGTTTGCAGAGTAGCTTAAATCATTTGGGAGACATCCTGGGCTTTATAACAAAGCTATTAAATGGCAGAGCCCTGAAGGAGAAAACCCAACTAAATGAGTCTCTGACTCGGAAGAGAGGTCCCCAGTCCTAAGGTGATGGGGACAAACTGCTGGGGACTGAGCTGTAAAAATCCAGATAAACGGCCATTTCCCAACTGCTGGCCCACACAGAAAGAAGCCATTCAAGAGCTCCAGGGGCAGGGGAAGATCATGGCACTTTCTAAAACTGATTAAAACACATTGTGGAGCTTGTTGGGGGTTGTTGGTTGTAGCCCTGTTAGTCTAAGGACCTAGGCAGACAAAGTTCTTTCGGTAAATCTGATATCTTTTATTAGACCAACTAAAATAGTTGGAAAAATCCTTGTGGCATTTGTTCATTTGTAGGAAGAGCCTCTCCTAGCTGACAAAAGGCTGCAACTGGTGTCACACATTTGATGACGGGGGACTGTGCATATGGATTGCACGAGTCTCGTACTTTGGTAGAGAGACCGTGTCCGAGTGCATCACCCATGACCTGCGGCGGGGGTACTAGTGCATCTGCTCAGGTCAACGACTTGCACTTTACCAGGCTTGTACCAAGGGCACAGTTAGGCTGCAACTGCATAAAGAGAAACAGGTTGAAGGTGCTGCTCTCTGAGCAGACTTGCTGTTCGTCTTCCTCCAAAGCCAAGCCCCAGCTACGTTAAACAAAGTCAACAGGGAAACAAAGCTGCTGACTCAAGCTCCCAGAAGGAAGTCCTTTCACAGGTGTGCCTCCTAGACGAACCTGTGGAGGGCTGAAGCTAAAGGCTGCCAGGTGTGCGCTCAGCAGGACCGGCTCCTGTCGAGTCCACAGATGTATGTGCAGTTAAGAGGCTTGAGCCAGTTAGAAGCACTAACACTTGGGACCATCACGACTCTGACAAGTCTCTCAGAAGAACAATCCCCCCTGGCTTTTTTGTACAAGACCTCAGCTAAACAGCACGGAGGAAGGCCTCGTCTCAGAGGTGGTTATTCAACACTAGGGGGAAGCGTATGTGATGATGATCAAAACAGCCAGCCTGAAAATCCCTTCCCTCCCCAGCTGCTGGTTTCTCTTGTAATGTGACGTCCTTGCTCTGACAGTCTCCAGTCCTCCTCAGTATCACTGAATACCCTGCCTAGCACTGCGGCACCAGCTGCAGTTAAGGGGCTGAGATCATTTGACTGGCAGCAAGCATCACTGGCTGTCAGTAGTGAAAAGATGCTGCAAAGTCATGCCATGCCCATTCATAAATGGGGAAAAGAGGACTGGTACACAGTGGCAGATAGGGAACAGAAGAGAGCAGCATCTCGAGCAGGGGAGGGGGGTCAGAGTGGCACTCAGGGAGGACGCGGGCCTTAAATTTGTAGCACACCTGCCAAAAAGGCTGCCCCGATGTAGTGAACAGAGATGGTAGGTTTGCAGTATCGTTCAAATGGCAGCTCAGAAATGAAACACCGCAGGGTTCAGTGGAAGAGGCCCCTGCCCTGACCCAGGAAGTTACTGTGGCTTTAAAACACTTCCAGGCAAACAGTGAGCGCCAAGTCAATATTATTGATGCCTGCCCGTCGCTAGGAAGCACCTTACAAAGGAGAGAAGGGCTTGATACTGATTCTTAATCCCCCCACTCCCACTATCACCTTTGTGGGGGAAAAAAAATCTATTGAGAAGGTAGTTGCTCCAACACAGCAGGCGCCCAGCCCTGCCTTCGTCTTGGGAGCCAAGGCTCCATGTTATCACGCCGTCCCAGCAGCACTGGGTACAGGAGCTGGTCTGTACCTGTCAGTTAGAGAAATGAAATGAAGTGTAAAACTGGTTCTTCAAGTCAGGGGGTCAGGAGAAGAAAAGAGCTCTGGCTACCCTCCCCACCCTGCTGGCCTTTCAGGAGAGGGTTTGGTCACTCAACATGGAGGATCTGAGTACCAGCTTTCTTTCAAGGGTGGTCCCCTGTGTAAGTCCGCACAATTCCCAGCACACACCCAGCCAGCTCCCAAGAAGCTTCTTTACTGGCACAGACCCTTGCTGCTCCCCAGATAACAGGTTGCACTGAATCAACTCAACAAACATACGCAGACTTTTCCGAATGGTTAAATACAGAGACCCATGCGCTGCTGCTAACCATCTGAAGGGCACAGCTCCCTTTCCACGATGCACCCTCCCCTTCCCTCCTTGATCCCAGCAGTAGTGCCCTCCATCCATCCGATTTAAAAGCACAATCACTCATGGAGCAATTTAAAACTGCTAAAGAATGAGAGAGACCGTTTTGGAAGGCAAGGCATGAAGAAGGACGCCCAGGAGATACCACAGTAACACCAGGTTTGGGGACTGACTCAGTTTTACAAAGCTAATCCACATACATTTGAAGGCACTCTGAGGACAAAGGCTAGAAAAGTGACTGTAGAGACATGTGAAAAGAAAAGCTGTTATTGCATCCATGTAGCCACTTCCGGCAGCTTTTCCCCAAGTCACGTCTTCAGGCGTTATCCAAGATGTTCCACCCACACAAAACTGCTGGGCTTGTCCGTGCCATTTACATGAGCACTTTAAAAATGGAAACTTCTCCAGCTACCTCTTGACAAATCAGTTCAGAAGCGAGAAGCCGGCAGGGCCCAGCAAGTAAATACAGCACGCAAAGTTACAGATGTACAAATCAAGCTCTATTTCCCAGGAGACCTTGCCCCAACCCAGATCAGCTCCTCCCATGAATGAGAGAGGTTTTTAAAAATGTTACATTCAAGTGCTTTAAAAACAAAGCCAAAAAGACACTCAAAGCCACCAGTCTCAGTGACCCCCCCAAATTTCCAGAACCTCTCTCCGAGCCTGCCAAAGGTCCAAACCAAAACAGACGCCCAGAAGAAACAGGTGAGGTTGGAAGCAGCTTTAAATGATATGAAAATCACATTAAACAGGCTACATGCAATCATCTAGTCAGCGTCGTCATGATTAAGCATTTCCAATGTCCATTATTTACAAAAATACCACAGATTTTTCTTCTCTTTTTTTAAAACAAGTACTTTACAAGAACAGCGAGTCCAAGTAGGACTGAAACGGGGGTCAGGTGAACCGCACGACTCAAAGGCTTTTGCTCACCGTTGTCAGGTACAGAAGGCCCCAGGGAGTGGACAAGGAACTACAGCACCCACATCTTTTAAAGCCTAGGAGACGTACAGAGACTGTAGCGTCAACCTTCAAGCTAAGGCCACCTTCAAATTTGCATCGGTACAGATGTGGGATGCACACCAAGGACAGAGCCCAGAACCCACCTCTGCTTCTATCACACACGCTAGCAGCACTGGACTCCTTGGTTTTACTGCTGGTCCATTTGACCACCAACCATTCTTCTATTCAAAGGCACTTAAATCTCACAGCCAGCTTTGTTTGATGTTCTGATTTAAAAAAAAAAAAAATGTATGGAGCTTGGCAAGCTGCAAAGCTCCTCCTCTCAAGCGGTAATGCCTATAGGGTAGCAAAGGACAAGCTACTTGTTTTGTAACTGGTCGCAGAAAGGATGACAAGGCAGTTTAGCTCTCAAACACCTAGGCAGAGCTTCTCTGTGGGCTAACGGGCAGAGCTTTGCAATTAAAAACCAGGTCTTTCTTTCCCTGCCAAGACCCGAGTTCTGAGGTCTCCCCAAAAAGTGAACAGACCCCAAAGTCATCGATGCTGCGAGAGAAAAGTAGGGGATCCCAATTAGCATACAAGTTACAAACCAATACCTGTAATTGTTTAATTCCTTGTGTCAGCGATTCACACCACTTTGGCAGCGACTGAAAGCAGGTATCCACTGGCTGTTTAGTACCGGTGATGAAAGCTGGCTCTCAGTAGAGTGCATCGCATCGAAGCTGTCCATATAACAGGTGGCACCATTTCATTTGGTTGCTTTATCAGCTGCCTCCATAAAAAGACCAAGCACTAAATGAACTGTGGAGACTAAACGACCCTCTCTCCTTCCTGAGATAGTCCCCCTCAACAAAACTGCTATAAATGCAAAGATACTGCTGGGGTGGGGGAGTGGTGAAAGGAAAAGCTACATAACGCCCGCAGTGCCAGAAGAGTAAAAACTATACAGCTTATACTCAGAGCTGAGCAACTGTCGGACAACAGAGATTCTTTGGGAGCTAAGCTGAACTCTGTGAGTGGAGATAAAACTTCAAACTCTCACAAAGGCACAACAGATTCCTTTGCTGCTCACTAGTTTCACAGTCCATTTCCTTAGGGTTATGTTACAGTCCAAAAAACCTCCAACGTGACCCACAGGCCAAGGAGCAAGTTAGGTGTGAAGCAAGGAAAAGTAATTGAAAAAATAAAGTGGCACAGCATATTTTGTGTTAAAAGGACGAGGAACTCCATGTGCAATAAGACCCCGCAACCTCTGCGCTCACAGCACACCGCTTCGGTCCATTTACCTAACAGTAAACTTGAAGCAGAGGTGCCCCGGATGAGTCAGTCTCTGTGTCCTGGAAGGAGGAATCTCTGCTTGTTGGAGATCCTTGAAAAGAAAGGAGAATAGATAAGTCCTCACAGAATCACACCCGCTGTGGCTAGAAGGTCTTTGGAAGCCAAACAGCGCTGCCCCAAAGGGCCTCCTGCACTGTGAGGGAGAAGAGAGCTTCATGAAGCCCTCAGCCAAGAAATAACCCTGGAGTTGTACAGTTTTGGAGGAGGAAGGGAGAACTTCACATTTAGAGGGAGGACCAGTCTCTTAGCCCAAAGCAGTTCTCTGATCCAGAGCAGTTTAACAACAAGGGTGAGGAAAAGAACCCATGAGATCTGCTAATGTTCTCCATCTGCTTCACTTCCATGGTAAATTGCCTCAGTTTGTATAATGCATCCAGAATCCCATCCTCAATTAGGATTCTGATTCCTTTCAAACTGCCAGAATATGTGGGCCTGAAAATTCCCAGGTCCAAGGAGCAGTGCGCAGGAGGTCTAAGATCTGATTGCTGTTTCACTGCCTTTTGCACCAGTGAAGGTCTATATGGGAAACACCCTGAACACAAACCCCAAACTCCATTTAAATGTTTAAGTGTCCACGAGTCTCAGTCATATACCTTCCAATGCCCAAGCCAGGTATCATCCCACTCTTGACACTTGGGGAAGCCCGATCATCACTACTATCACTGATTATTACCACCATCACCATAAACCTAGGAGCCCAAGACGGACCGGTTACCTGCAGCGCTGTGCCGCCTCATGTTCCTGGCTATGACATCTGCTGCTGTTTCCTCTGATATCTGCACAGCCAAATCTAGAAAGAAGATTAGGAAGTGCTGAGAAGAGAAATACCTCAAGGTGTGCATAACCCTGCGTCCAAAGCCGCATGCTAGTATAATAAGCTCTCCCTCTATACAATTATTTGTTTCTTAGGGATAACTAGGTATTGGTTTATTCTGTAGCTGTATAAGAGGACAGATGCTTACCTGAACATTGCAGGTCCCTCTGCTAATTACTTCAATGCAAGGAATAGTAACATTTTAATGAAACTAGGAGACCACAAGTAGACCAGCTTTCCCCATTTCCCTTCAAACACCCTCTCACTAATACTCACCTCTTCAAGTGTCTCTAATGCAACGTGCCTTGTAGCTGATCCTACTGGTTAGATTCAGGCTACAGAGAAGCAGGAGAGCACATTTGATAGAAAGAGGCTTTCATAGTCTGCAAGCAGTCCCCCTTCTCTGTTGACTTTTGATCACTTCTGATATCAGCAGGTAACTAACAGGCTCCCCCTCCCCCCAAATTTAAGTAAAGAAGACAGCCTGATCAGCAGTCTCACCACGCACCCCAGATGATGTGCAACGTTACTGAAGTCTAAGCATTTGTTTAAGCCACAGCAGTAGCACGTCCCAGGGAACACGGGGCTGGACACACCATGCCCACCAAGTCTGCTGGTCTCAGTCTTCAGCGGCCTGAGGGCAGCGGCTCGGAAACGAGACCACAGCAGCCTCAGTGGCCAACCCTTGGCTCTGGAGTGTGTCTGTGGACTTGGGGTGGCAGCGGTGCATCCTCCCCAGGATGACACAGACCAGCCCTAAATTACAAACGGGGTTGGGGGAGAATAATTTTCAAGACAACCAAAGGGGTTGAAGAGTAAACATGGTAGGACTAGGAACCACATGACTTGAGAAACCTCACCCCCATGTCCAGGCAGGCTCAGAGAGAGCAAGTGTCTGATGCGCAGCCACGAGGGACAAGGAGCAACAGCCTTAAATAGCAATGAGAGAAATGCAAGTTGGATACGAGGAAGAAGATGGTTAAGCACTGGAACACGTCGCCTACAGAGACTGGGGAATCTCCATCCCTGGAAGTTTCTAAGAGCAAGTAAGACAAGCACTCATCTGGAATGGTTTAGACAGGGCTGATCCTGCCTTGAGCAGGGGGGTGGCCTTGAAGTGACCTCCCAGAGTCCCTTCCAGCTCTACTCTTCTACGCCTCCGTGACTTGCTACCAGATTAGGAAAGGTCCTCTAGGCTCCACACACAGACAGAAAGCAAGACACAGGGAAGAAAGCAACAGAAGGAAGCAAACCTTGTCTAGCAGCACTGGGCAAGCCCTGATGAAGAGGGCCAGCCGAGAAGCCTTAGTGGAAGGGCTCTAGCTTATGCCAGATTGCTGGGTCACACCTGTTGAGTTTGGCTCCTGGTCTCACTAGGTTACAGATGGGGAGAGAAGTCAAATTATCATAGGGTCAGAGTGACTGGCCCCTCATAGTGCTCACTGGCAGAGTAAAGAGCAGTGTGTTTTCTAGAAGCGTGCACTGTAGATCGGGGGTGGCTGGTGCGAACTGAAACTCTTCAGCATTTTGGAAATGAAGGATTCCTCCAACCCAGAAGCAATCCCTGAATCCACAGTTCGGTTATCAACTGCCCCCCTGCCTACTCCCCTGCCAAATCCAATTGCTCTCAAGTCTGGGGCTTCAATACCTCAGGATGAAGCCAGCCCTTGGAGAGGGGGCAGAGCAGCAAAGCCGCTCTAGGAAAGGAACTTGCACATACCGTCTTGGCTGATGACTATGGACTCCGGCATGGTTTCGTGGCCACTGTCTGGTGGGTTGCCTCTGCTTGTCCTCGCCTCGTGGCTCTGGGTCGCAGGGATACAAACGTGTGGCCGGACCCTGCTTTTCCGGGTGCTGATGCGTATGATGCCTCGGACCAGCCTGCACTCCGCATCCTGCTCATCCAGGTTGTAGTCCTGAGTGATGCTGTTGATGAGGTCTGAGATCTTGTTAGTCTTCTCCAGGAAGACTGTGTCCGACGTGCACTTGGCCAGCTCATCGATCTGATGGACGCTGAACAGCTCCGTCAGTTTCTTGAAGATCAAGACGTCAATCTCCCTGCTGGACATGGAGCTGCTCATCTCGCTGAGGTCCAGGTCAGACTCGTGGAAGGAGTAATACTCCTCAGAGCTCCGCTGGCTGCCAGGGAGCGGTGGCTTTTCTATGCTGTTCCTGAAGGTCTTCTCCGGTAGGGGCTCCTTGTAGCATGAATCTGCTTCTAGTTGGTGGCTGGGGCTCCGATTGGGATAGACAGGGATACCCTTCAGTTTCACATCTGGGTAACTGAAGCTGCTCCCCATAACAGGCTTCCTGCTTGGGTTCCCATTCTTTTCAGTGGGGGACAGGTTGACAGGACTACTGTTAGACAGCCGTCCGTTATACTCTCTGTTCTTCCCATCATCTACCAAAATCTCAGCATGTCCTGCGTAGGGGATACGAACGCTGCAGTCCTGAAAGCAGCCCCCACAGGTCACTATACAGCAGAAGACAGCTTTGTAGGTGCTCCAGGCTTGAGACAAAGAGGAACAGCAAGAGCTCTGGGCCTGTGGAGCCTCTGCACTGCCAGAGATAAAGGAAATTGTTTCCGTTTCCCTCCCATTGGAGTCCCTGGAGTCAGCTTTGCGGGCTTTCCTGCCCCGTGCTTGCTGAGCTGCCTTATGGTTCTGCTTGAGTTCAGGGGTTGAGCCACTAAACACTTCCAGACTGATGTCACTGTCCTTGGATGGGTTGCACCTTTGGGGCACAGCATCCTGGTGCAACAGGTTCATCGGGTACTTGCTGCTTAATTCTTGAGGGTGTCCTGCTCGCCTTCCCCACATGGCTGCCCACCTCAGACACCTGAAGAACAAAAGGGGCTTGTATCAAAGTCAGGGCCATTGTCACCGTGCCTCTGGCGCTAGCCAGTGTCTAAAGACCATAAGAAAATCATCTTCTAACCCATCTCTGGGCCAGGGCAGGCTCGTTCCCTACAACACGTTTCCCAGGGCTTTCATCTGTCTAGTTTTTAAATATCTTCCAACATAAACCTGCAAATTGGAAAAGCAATTTTAAGGCAACTTCCGCGGTAGTTTCAGAGGCGTCGGGGTCACTCGAACCTTCAGAAAATGCTTCCCTGGCACAGCTGGAAGGCGAGTTTGCCTCTGGAGCTGCTGTTCAAGAGGCATAACAATGACCGGCACCGCTGCAGGTGGGGCCACCTGACAGTCTCCCTTGACATGTGCTACCTTTGAACAATTTCCCCTTTGTCTCGCATTCTTTAGGATTAAGCTGGGCTCCAAGAACGAGCCGTATCCATTTCAAAACACCCCGTGCCCAGGAGAAGATGACAACCCACCGATCGTTATAAAAGCAGCCAACTCCGACGCGGAGCTCTCAGCTACTTGGCGTTGAGTGAATTCAAGGGATTTCGCGCTAGCGTGAATTGTTTACGACGCTTATTGTGCCGACCGCCTCGGGGAGCGACTCGGCCGCATTTCATTTTTGTTTGCATCGCTGATGCTTTTATGAAAACAAACAAACAAAAAGCTGTCGTCGAGTTCGTCTCAAACCAGCCCTCGGACGTACGCCGTGAAGCGTCGGGCTGTATTCGACTCCTGCCTGGGGACCCGGCTGCCTGCCACGGCTGAAACACACGCCGCTTTGCAAAGGCACTTCCTTTCCGCTCTCGTCCCTCTGCATCCTCTTCTAACACAGCTCCGGACATCTAGCAAATTAAATCCTCGTTACGAGGAAAATTAAATACCCGGCACCTGGGCTGACGTGCGCCCGTCTCCGTCTTGCCGGGCTGTTTCTCCCCCGCTCTCTTTGGGGCCCGTCGGTCTGCAGCGTTTCTCGCACAACGCCGGCTCTTACTCGTCTGGGCCGATCGTTAAGCGGTCGGACCCTGCTCCCTGCAAAGCCCACGCTAGGATTCGTTTTAGGAAAGCCCTAAACTCTACCTGCCCCCAGCTCTCGGGGAAACGAAGGGGCGCAAAGAGCGCGAGCGAGCGATACTCACCCCGCGTGTGGGGCGGCGAGGGCCCTCGGGGGACGTGGGGCATGTGTCCCGGGGTCGCCGCGGGAGCGGAAACGGGCGTCTGGAGGCGGTGGGACAATGGGGGGGGCTCGGGCTCTCGGTCTTTCCGGCCCCTTCTCTGCCCCGACAGCCTGCGGGCTGGGCCC